AGCCATCTACTATTGTTGATAGCTGTTTACCAGTTCTATGAGTCAGATATTAGCTAGTGGCAAAGGTCCCCCTCAAATCCTCCGAGTATTTTTTAAACTGTGTACATAATGTTTTCCTTAAATAAAATGTTGAGAGAAGTAAAAATGCAGTCTTTTCCTGTCTCTTGGTAAATTATGGTCCACAAGACTTTGCACTTGGGAATAATATTTAACGCATTTATTTTTAAAGGCTTATGTTCTTTGTTGTCTTTACTGAATGAAGTAAGACACTAGGCTTAGCAAGTATTTAAAAAACATAGATACTTTAAGAGATGTTCACTGTTGTCAATATTTATATAGCATTTAAAAACTAGAAGTAAAACTGAGTTTCCTTTATTTAGATTAAACCAATTGTGATTAATTTAGCATCCACAAAAGTCCCTAATGCCAAAACAATAAACAAATAAATACATAGTAATATACACTATCAAATTGACCTTAGGTTCACTAGTTTTAAATTCTTCTTCTCCTATATCCCAGTTCCAGTTTCCAAGCAGCAGTTTTTTAAACTGGTTATGCAGATAAGTCCCTAAAGCAAAAAAATAGCAATTTATCTGGCCTGCATGTTGTGGATAGGGTTGCCACGAAAAAGAATCTAGGACATTTTTCCTTCTTATCTGCAATGTAGCTCATATCAGCCAACCTGTCACAAGATAGTACTTGATATAAACAAGAGATTGCTAAGACATCTCAGTAATCAATATCAGGATGGCTACAGTATGGAAACCCCAACCAGTGCATATCATTTGTCTCAGCATCTATTTCTATGGCCAAATGAAGCATTAATTCAAATCATAAATCTATGGTGATTTAAATCTGGGAATGAGCACCTGCCTGCTTTAATGATTTATTTTGTACATTTCAGTAAGCAGGAGATTTGTCCATATGAACTGACAGGTCACCTTCAGATGCCAGGAGCAGACTGTTTATCACCATGCAGACTAGCATCTCATCTTAGCAAGTAAATATTAAACTAAAAGAATCCAATTGATTGTGGATGGGCAGAATGGCGACATGGCCATATATTTTACTCAGCGTGCTGATGCCTCACTTAGATCTATTCAGAGGTCCTCCCTTCACCCTGGAAGTGATCATTCCGTGAGCTCAAGGTTACCATGTAAAACTGAGGTACAAAATAATTGTTTGTCAGTGTCAAGCATTTCCTTACACAGCTTTTTTTTTCGGCTAATTTTCAAGATTCATATGAAGAAGCAAAAAAGGTCATCTATAACAAAATCATACTTTCACCTCACCAAGCCAAATCAAACCAAAACAAGGAAAAATAAATTCCATTTTCTAGGGCTGTATGGATTTATTTACAACCAAGTGGGGGAAAGTGCTCCTACAAAGGAAAGCCTAAAATATTTAACAGCACTTGTGAGCCCAATGCGTACAGGTGGTAACGAGGTCACTGAATTGACTTCCACGGTGTCAGTAGATTTGGGCAAGACTGAGTAGCAGTGGTACATCATTTAAGTAACTTCAAATTGATTCACAAGAGCAGTAAGTTCGCATTCTGACATATACGCATTTGAGATTCTTCTGGAGTTCACATTCTTCAGTATCAATTCCTTAGTCCTTCATGATAACTGATTGTCCTGGAGGACACAGCGCTTTCCGTTAGAGCTGCCTGTTTCTTTAGTGTTCCACCCAGAGACTGTCTGCTTCTTGGCTACTGTATTATATTATGTTGTTCTCTTAGAATGTACTAAAACTGAACAGACAAAGAATTCAAGGGCCAGCCGGATAGCTCAGCGGACTAAAGCGTCTGCTTAGGCAGAGCACAGCAACAGCGGTTCCATTCCCAGTGTGCCGTGCTGGCCCCGCCCCTGGGGCACGCTCAGATGGCTGTTGAGACTGGGCTTGATGGCGTGCGCCTGTAATTCCAGCACTTGGGAAGCGGAACACAGGAAAATCACTACGAGTCCGATCTACGCAGCGAGACCCTGTATACCCTGTCCTAAACGCTTTAAAAAAAATTCAAATACTGTAACAGATACCCTCAAATCTCCTCATAGTTTAACAAATAATAACCACCAGAGACTAAGAGGAAGCAGTTTATGTTAGTAAAGGAGGGAGAAGACAGCTTTCAGGAGGGCAGGTTTAGCAATAGTATAATACCAAAGCGATACCAAATGCCTTAAGCACTAAACATACATTTTAAATCTCATGATGTAGACATTATGATCTATACTATTTTTCCAAATGTGGAATGTTGGGCTCAGAAAGTTTCCATAACTTTCCAATGTCACAGAGCAAGTAATAATGGAATACTTACCCAGAGGCAGTCACTGTCCTCAGAACCAGAGAAGACCGGGGCCACAAAAAACGGCTAATTCAGCGACTGCATTGATCTACGAGTTCCACTGCCATGGCTCTCTACCCTTTCCAATCACCTCTTCCCTTCCCAAGCTGATTTTCCCTGCTCTCTAGATAAACATACAGGGTAGAGGTCCTTGGGAGAAATAATATAAATTATAAATTCTTAGAAAACAGGAGCACCAGAAAATAGAATGAAAACTGTTTTGCTTGTCCAAATCACATGTAAGAATGAAATACATGTGTTATAAATTAGCAAAGACAATGATGCTAGCACATCGCAAAATTTCAAAACTTTCTAAGCACATTGAAGTAAATTTCCATTCCTGGTCCACACTCAGGATTGATAGTCAATGTCAAAGCTAAAAAGCAGTATAAACTACCGACTCAATCCTTAATTGGAAGAAAAATCCCATCTTCCTACTTAATACACAATGTGATTCAGATTATTTTGAGATAGCCCATGTACCAAAGCATTTATTAAAAAGCTATAATTTAACAATAGCAAATTGCTACTGTCTACCATCAAATTCTAAATATGAATGAGCACTTAATTACAATTCATGTTCTCCCTTTGTGACTTCCAGTGTCTCCAAAACTGATCACTGTTCTGCTCAGAAAAAGTCAGAGGCAACATGTCTTAATATATTTCATTTTAGATGTTATGTTGTTGCCTGTTTTTAGAATCTCTCTGCAAAACACCAACTATCAAAAATGTTTGAAAACAATCCAGGTTATATTGGAACAATATGTAGTTTGTAGTGGCCAATAACTTCTTTTTAGGTGTTCAATATTGCCCAGTGTTGCCAAAGTAAATGACTTTCATTTTGAAGCAATATACACTTAATAGTCTGAAAGCAGCATTATGATGTTTTCATGTTACCTTAATACTGGGTTAACTTGCAAGTCTCAGTTTACACATCCAAACCAGGAACTCAACACTCAGGTCCTCCTGGTCTTCTCCTCAAAAGCTCTTAGACATGTAAGCACTGATGCTCACTTCAGTTTTTTTTTCAGTTTCTGAGTCCTCTCTTCAGACTTCTCTCCCTGTCTTTTCACCCTTCCAAACATTGCCACCAATACTTTTTCTCAATTCAGAGTATTGCTGCCAGTTTTCAAGGTACCTTTGAGATTCTGTTAAAGTTTTACCTTTTCCCATTTTACATTAGAGGCTTGCCCTTCGTATCACTGAAGCAGGGGCTTTCTGTTTTGTGCATGTAGTCAAAAAGCACTTCCAATTTTTATATCCATGGCTACTGTATGTTTCCAGAGAATGACATAAAAATGACTGTTACTTACATCCCTCATATTTCTTTATATACTGTACCCATAGTTATGCATGGTATGAATGGCAGAAAATAAAGAGCTTGTTACTAAGGTAGGAAATAAGCTGTTAAATTGCTGTGTGGAGAAAAGAGTTGACTGGACTATCATGAATTTTTGGGTCCCTCATGAGCACCTGGCAAATGTTGTGTAGAATCCAACTTTTCAGAATTAAGTTAAATTTTAAGCATGATTTCTATATTCTAAAGGAAAATGATACAGAAAAGTAACCAAATAAAGCATTTTATCATGTCAACTGCCAGACACTATAGATTTTGTTAATAAAAAATCAACTCACATTTTATACTGTTTATGCAAATTTGTTTTTGACAAAAAATTACCCAAATGAATACTTGACACAGTAAAAGTTGTTCTTGGTTTGATTGTGAGAGTTAATTTTTCATCTTTTCTTGTCTACATAACAGTAAATAAATATTAAAAGAAATTGAAGTTGTATTTTTAATCACAGAGACTATAGTAATGGTTGTATATAGGAAAAAAGTTGCTTCTTTGTTTGTGGTAGTACATGAAAAAGATGTGTTTTAGTCCACTCTTACGGTTTCATTTTAAATCATTTGAGTCATCAAAAGTATGCTTTGAAAATGTTAGATAACAAACTCTTGAAATAAGCAATCCATGTTATAAACAACTTATTATAGTATATTGTTTCCATTGTCCTAACTTAAGTAATTGCTAATTTTTTCCTTTCTTTTTTTTTTTTTTTTTTTTTTTTTTTTGCGGAACCGGGGATTGAACTCAGGCCCTTGCACTTGCCAGGGAAGCGCATATTCCACTGAGCCATCTCCCCGGCCCAATTTTTTCCTACTACTAATTTACAATGTAAACCTTACCATATGCATATATATTTAACATAATATATCTGGAGTTATAGCCATTCATGTTTTCTAACATCCCCTGTGGTCTTGGGATACATCCTCCACAGAGGGGAATGTTCTATGTGTTTTTCTGTTAATAGTGGTAAATTTCATACTTCATAACACATGTATTAAAAGAATACAAAATAAATCATTAGATTTTATTTGTATGTATTTTTCTGTTGTTTTATCTACAGTCAATAGTTTAGAATTCTGATTATTAAAATGTATCTGTATTATATAATAGGCTGATGGAATACTTACCTAGTTGGGCTATAAAAAATAATATTCTAGCCATGTAAGTAGAGCACATGTATTTAGGGTGGTTATCTTCACAAGACTCAATGCCCTTGTCCTACCACTAACTTTAACTAGAGTTCAGGTCTGGAAAAGAAGTTCCACAGCAAAGGGATCACAATTAATTTCAGCGAATATAAAACTTACCAACACTTGAATTCATGTCCCCATTTTCAGAATCAGCTCCATGTTGGTTATTACTGGCATGATAGTTACTCATAGCTTCTAATTTGATTTTTTTCACCTTCATTGCTTCAGCGATAGCTGCATTGGTAGCGGCAGCGGCTGCTGCAGCGGCTGCTGTAAGACCTTAAAAGAATAAGTTAAAAATGAGGTAATTCAATTTCAGATTTTTCTTGTAATCATCCATGTACTTTTTGTTACTCATTTCCAGCATATATTAGATTACCGTTCTTTATACAACACTTTGATAGTACCTTCACTGCCAACTGACCGATGTTATTTCACATTGATAAAAAGGGAAGAGGGCATTTAAGCTCCCAAATTAAGTATCAGCGCAAATATAATTCATACATAGAATTATAGTGGAGGAAATGCAACCAGAGTTATCTCTCAAAGAAACCAGCCTGAATGAGCCATTCTTGGTCAAAGGAGGAGAAAATCTGAACTGCTGCTTAATCCACAAGAGCCGACCTCATCAGCCACAGCTTCCTCCTGTTTTGTGCCACTCAGGAGCTATGTCAAGCATGCCAAGCTTTCACATAAATAACCTGCCTCTTCAGGCCTCTGCTTTCCTACATTCCATTGCTTTTGTCTAGGATGATCTTGCTCTATGGCCTACTTAACTGACTTCTTAAAATCCAGGAATATCCCACTCAAGCTTAAGTGTCTAACCTTCTTCCCCCGAAGCTGCCCACTTCTCTCCTTCTGGACCCCCTTCGTATTTTGTTCTAGCACTGTAGATGTCTATTGGTGCATCTGCTCTCCTCACTAGATGGTGAGCTTCTCAGAGGCAGGGACTAGGTGTTGTTGTACCTCTTAGTATGCTCTGTATTTAGGAAACGCAAATATGATAACAGCAAATAGTTTGCTTCTGCTTATGAAATTTAAGTACTGATGTACATTATGAAAACAGATTAATCACCTTAGTAACCCAATGCTATTGGTCACTCTAGTCTTTCTTCAAACGTTCATAGAACCAGCAAGTGTTTTGAGCAGTAAAGTGATTTTTGTCTTTGTTAAATGTTTTAACTTTTATCAAGTCAGTTCACTTCATCCTGAATTTCCTCATCCACAAAACAACAGACACTGGGCTATAGGAATGAAATGTTAGAATTCTAGGCTGCCAAGTTTGTGAAGGGGCGCATATCCTGCTCTTACTCTCCATGCAGATTCCTTTTGCTACAACGAATTTAGTATTTCTGACTGTAGTGCTCCAGATCCTTGTGAATTTATCTGAGCAATTTATTGCCAGTAGGTGGATTAGAGACTGTCCCTCTTTCCTTTTCCTCCCCACTAATCATACCTCTAGTTACTATGGTGAAACACTGCAGCCTAAGGAATTATGCAGAAGGCTTTCTCAGTGGAAATCTCTGCTACGTCTTCAGAGAATAGGAAAAGATTTCACCTTCTCTTCAAATCTGCACAAAGAGGCCCTGACCACTTTCACCCCAACTCAACAAGACCTACAGATTGGACCTTTACATGAAAAACGGATAGCCACTCCTTAAAAGGCACTGATCTAAATTCAAAGAATCTGTGTGGGTTTGGTTTGAACATTCACTACCTTTTAAGTCTCTACTTGAGCTGATTCTCTCATCTTCCTATGACTGAATTTTTCCCCAATTACTCATTTCCTTCAAAGATGTTTCAGAACATTTTCCTTCCTGTTCTCTTAAAATTCTCTGTGTGTTTCCCAGAAAGTATCTTTTCTTTGGTTCTGCCATGTCACCAATGTGGACATCTCATTTATCCCTTCCCTTGGCTGCCTGATGTTGACCCCTCTGCAGTTTGTAACACTTCTCAGGCCTTGTTTTTGATTTATGATGCAGGTAAATCTTTCTCTCTCCTTGTGTTCCAAAAACATAAATAAATCTACAGCTTACTATATTATTAACATTATCATGTGGATAAAATCAAATTAATTGATATGCAATGTAAGTATTCATGAAACTTTTGACAATGTAAGAAGCTGTCCTATAATTACAAATTGTTTAATACCAAAAGAAAAATGTAAGGATAAAGTGAGATAAACTATATAAAAAATTGTAAATCATGTTTAGAAAAAGCAACACATGCCATACATTCTTGTTATTAGGTAAGCAAAATCAAATCCTATTTAGGAATTCTGCAGGATGTCTGTAGGTTGGTAACAGCTACCTGAACTACAATAACTATATCCCTCATTGGATGACTACCTTAACCTTAGTCTTTTTTTTTTTTCAAAATTTTATTGATAAACAGATAGCAATGAGACAGTGTCAAATCAAATTGGAAGTACAGATTCAACAAATAATATATTGCATATATTCTTCTTAGTGGTTAATTGCTGTGCAAGATGCAGACTTGAGATCCTATTTACAAACACCATTAGAACAAATCATTCTATTCATTAAGAGAATGCAACTATATATCTATCCTAACCACTTTGAATACAGATACAAAATGGACATTCATTAGTATACCCCATTTTTTCTAAGTTCCGTTATTGAATATTATAGGTGTGTAAACTCAGCAAAACATTCCAAAGGAGTCCAGCAGCCCATAATAGCATTGGGTCTTCTGTTTAACTGGCAATGTCAGAAATTATTGACCTGAGTCCCCCACAGCTCAACATAACAACATGGCCTTACTTCCTATATTTCGTCTTCATTCTTTTCTACTGGATCTTAACCTTAGTCTTAAATCTATGTTTTGTAACTTTATTATTTAATAGTTGTTCTAACTTACAGCACTCCTGCAGTTGTCTGTTTGGTGGCATTTACCAAATTCACATTTCTAATGTAGTTGGAAATAATATGCCATTATATGCATGAAGCATATCTACATTGTATATCATAGTATAGCACATAGCATAACTACAGTGCTTTTGGCTATCCATTTTTAGTTCCATTTTTTTCAAGCACAGGAAGAAAATTTTGACATAAGCAATAGTTGCTGGTTTTAGTTTCACTAATTCCCTAGATATTTGGTAGGTTTTTAAATTTCAATTCTTCAATATCTTGCATATTCAGCCAGTTTCCATTTTCACTGACTTCTGCCATGCCAACTTCCTTCCTTTCCTCCTGCATCTGGCAATAAGCTCTTCAACAACTTCCACTTTCCTCACTTCCAAGCTCTTATCATACACACATTCTAATGTGGCCTTCTGAAAATTCTGACCTGCCTACGACATTCAATTCCTGCTCTGAGGGTTAAGCTCAGTGATTCACATGGAAGTCAGGACTCTTAGTACCCACTTCCTCGACTGTCTGAGAAGAATCTCTTGCCTGCCCTCTATGCCCCAGATACACAGGTTTTCTTGCACTTCCTTTTCATTCTTTCTAGTCAGTCCTTGCCTCTGCTCTTTCTACTTCCTGAAGCAGCTCTGAAGTCCCCTGTCCCAGGGCTGCTTAAGCCTTTCTCATGGAAATGCTCTAAGAGAAGCAAGCTCAGATCCCTGATTCCTCATTGTGTAAAGCAGAAATGGTGATCAGTCTTTTAAGAGCTGTGCCATGGTCTACTGTTTTCAAGAACCATGTCTGACTTTCGAGTAAACCACCCCTTGAGTTCAGTGCATGACCCACCAACTCTTGTTCTCTTCCATGGCAAATAAGAGTTGGTCCTCCCTAGCTGTGCATCTGAATGGCCTTTAAATCAAGCAAGGAGCTGAGTGCGGCCCTCCCAGAGTCTGACTCTGTAGGCCAGAGTGGGGACCTCTGAATCTGCAACACTTTTGTTTAATTTTACAGTTCCACTGGTCATCTCTTCTGCTTATCTTTTTAGGAAAATTGGATGTGGATCTAAGAAGGTAGGATCTGGCTGACTTTTCTATATAACAGTAATAAAAGAGATTAGAGATTTTTTTTTTCTGATACATGCATCCCAAAAATTCACAGTGCCTGACACAAATTGTCGCTGAATTAAACATTTTTTTTTTCCAGTACCAGAGACTGAACTCAGGACCCTGTACTTCTGTACTTCCCAGGCAGACACTTATGCCACTGAGCTATCTCTCCAGAAAAAACAAACAAACAAACAAAAAAAAAAACAACACTTTTTAAACTAGACTCCTTGGAAATCTTCAGGAGAAATATGGTTGTTAATTTGATTATGTCAGTAAAAGTAATATTACCCACTGTTTTTATGTTACATAAATGTGAATGAACTAAGAGTTGGTCCTCCCTGTCATCAATTCAACATAAAATGTGTTTCATTGGCAGGTGTGCCCTAGGTCTAGAGAGGATCCATTCCCTATGCAGTTACTACAGTTCATTATGGACTGGTACAAAATCTCCTCCAACTTCCTGTCTACACTAAAAGCTTGCTTTATAATCTGTCTATATACTCTGCTTAAAGTTGTACTGCATATATAGTGACCAATGAAATTGTCTTAAAAACACATGAGAAAAAATGTGATAAAATAGCCTAACTCCTTGGTCCATACTACATTAAAAATTTCAAAGTACAGCAACATTTTCTATGCAATTTAAAGTTGCTCAGTGGGGTGCACACTGGAGATCTCTAACAATTGCTTTGCTCTTTTAATTTTATTAGCACCCTGTCTTTACATATCATATTTTCCCCTTGCCTCAGACTTTTTTGAGTTTTTTAAAATTTATTTTAAATAGAACAGAAAAATAATAGGTAAGACATTAAAATGATACACAATTAAAAAAAAACAAGTTGATAGGTTCTTATGCTGCATATTGTTGTCTTCAATGTAGTTGCTCAGATTTCCAAATATAAGCATGTAAAATTGGTCAAATTAAAGATGTGATATTTTTATACAATGGAGTGTTACTCAGCTATAAAGAAAGATAAAGTTGATGTTTTTATAGGTAAATGGATGCAACTAGAGGTTATATTCATAAATGAAATAAATCAGACCCACATTTGTAAACATCGTATTGTCTCCCTACTATAAAAAACTGAAAGAGTATATAAAATCTGAAAAATACAATAGGTATAGTAAAAAGGAAACAAACTGAGCAAAAGGGATAAATAATTTGGATGAGAGAAAGAGAAAAAGGAAAACCATAATGTATGTATATATACAAGACAGCTAAGATGATTGCACTACTAATTTTTATTATTTTCTTTTTTTAAGGTAAAACCTCAGACTTTTTGAGAATTTGTGCTATTCTTTG